TCTACATCAATACCCCACCAAATCCTAGGCGCAATGTGTCACCCATGAAGTCGCCGAGGCAAACAACACACCACACAAGTCCATGGCGGATCCGCCTTACAGTCCAAGCTGAGCAAGTCAATGAAATACAGAGATCAGAAATCTCCCCTACAAAACGCCTAACAGAGCAGACCACTACCGTTACGGTGCCCTTGAAAGGCGGCGACGATACACCACCAGTCGTGGAGAAGAAGGGAAGAGGCCGACCGAGAAAGTCGCTTGATAATCCAGTGAAGAGGGCAGGTACCCCAAAACCAAAAGCAGGAGGGAGACGAAAAACTATACTTGAGTCTCCGAAGAAGCAAGAGGTGGATGCACACAGTGAGACAGCCACGCCACCTAAGAAGCCCAGAGGAAGGCCAAGAAAGAGTATAGAGCCCAAGGATACTGAGGCCAGCCTGGGTCTATCACAAAAGAATGACCTCGATGTGTGGTTGGGATCATCATTAGTTGGTGGAGAAGAAACGGCTGAGACAAGGTCAAAAATTGGACGGACGAAGAGTAGGGGAAGGAGGCAGGAGATCACACCTATGAAAATTGCTGTGGATTCGGATATTGAAAGCCAATCTAGCTCAGCAGGAGTTGCGAGAGATGTCCCCAAAGAGCTAGCGTGGACACTCAAAAGTCAACAGGGTGAGGAAGAACAAACGGACCAGAAACTATATCAATCGCATGAGGCGCTCACACCGCAAATAGAGCAGAGCTTAGTTTCGGGAATGTCTTGCAGGCAGTCCGCCCTTGGACAGCAAGATGAAGATGGGTGGCGATCCATGATCAATCGCGACACTCGCTCACGTAGCCCACATGGAGACGATGCTCAGGATCAAACAGAATTCGATCCGACTGGTCAGTACCAAGAGTATAACTCCATACTCGAGAGTGAGGGTTTTAGTATGGTATCAGTATCATCGCTACCATCCATGGGAGACAATTCTGTCAGTTCCCCGCAGCAGTATGGAAGCCTGCATGAGCATACTCCAACCATTACATCCTCACCCTCAGTCTCACCAGCACCCGAGGCTTTCAAGAATCGGTCATCGCCACGTCAACTTGATATTCCGTCAGATGGGACACCCAAACTTGCGAAAGTTGTTCGCGCAGGTATCGCACTCCAAGGAGTGCTGAGCCCCAAAGACCGAAGCCAGAAGCTGGATTCGTCGTCCCAAGGGTCTCAGAAGCCGTCCCCGGTCTTGGCCGTAGAGGAGCCAGCACCTCAGCGCGAACTCTCGCATCGTGTGCCAAAGGACAAATTGCCAGAAGAGCGTTTAGACGACCTATTTCGAGGCTTTGGTGCAGGTACGAGGAGGGAATTGAAAGCTGGCCTTAGACTCGGGGAAGAACTTTTAAAGAGACAGCGGCAAACTTCACGGGAATCTGTTGCAGGCATGAAGGTAGGAGACGACGTCTTTCAGCAGACAAGTAACCCCAGTAACCCTCAACTACCTGCCTCTGATCCCAAAGAAGGTCACCTTATGAAAGCCCCAGGATCTGAAAGGCAAGTCAGGTATCCTCTACTCTCGAATAACCAGTTACCCAGTCCAGAGAGAAGTTTGGTGGATGAGGAAGATGACCGTATGAGCTGGAAAGCAGACACTCCGATCAAGCAAGAAGTGCCCGCGTCGATGAGCGCCCAGGTTCTCGTGAGTGACGAGTCGATAGGACCAAACGCCTCGGCCATCGATCACACAATGATTGCAAGAAAAGAAGAGTGGCAGCGAGAAAGGGAGGCTGTGAGCAAGCAGATCGAGATGGCCAACAACAGTCAAGTCATCGTCATCGATAGTGATGATGAGGAAGAAGAAAAGCAAGACCTGGAGGAGAATGTAGCTGACAGCGATATCTGGCAAGCAGAAGCGCAATCTGCAGATCAGTCTAAAGAGACGACGCCCGAGGCATCGGATGTTTTTCTACAGCCGGAGTTTCTCAAGCCTCGTAGGAGCAAAATACCAAGCCCTTGGAGGCGCAATAGCCAAGTCATCTACAGCGATGAAATGGAGCCCACAGAGTCGGACTTGTTTTGGCAGCCGGATCAGTCCCAGGCAAGAGCTTCGAAGAGACGAAATGCTCGGAAGGGCAAAAGTCAAGATCATTCGGACATATCAGCAGACTCCGTTCTCGATATTTCGCTGGAGAACACGAGGAAGGCTGAAGCACAAATCCAACTAGAAGCATCAAAGGCCTGGCCTGTTGAGAGTCCGCTCCTTAGCAACGACGAAGACAGCAACATAGCAACGTCTGCGGAACACACACATGACCACGGCTCCATACAACACACTGACCAGACAACAAAGTCTCCCGTGATCGTAACGCCTAGCGAGAACCATGCTGTGCTAGAGTTGCCTCCCACTCCGACCACTCCGAAGGAAGCCCTTCTGAAACATGTCATAGAGGTCTCGGAGAAGATTACAACTCTGAAAGTCACAGAAGGCACGTCAGTTGAGCCCATCTTGCGAACCTCAAAGGACAGCGAAGCTGCTATCGACCCACGTCTCCTTCAAAAGAAGACAGGCCCACTAAGCGTCTCTAACCGACCTGACCGACCTATCCGACCTATCCGACCTATCCAGTCCTTGCAACTCACACATTCCTCAACTTCTTGGCTCTCCCGCCTCACTGCCCCCATCTGGTCTGTCTTCGCGCAAGCCGCTTCCCTCCTCCCCGCAGCAACAAAGGAGGACATCCTGTGCTCTTCTCCGCATGAACCTCTATGCCAGCTTACACCCTGGGAAGAATGCCATTTCCGCGCTCTCGGTCCTCTCTACTACGGCTCCCTCCTCTACGGAGCCCACCTTTTCCCTTTCAACCCACGCTCTCCATCTGCACGCTACTGCGGAGCGTATGTCACTACTAAACTTGGCTGGTCTCGAAAGATAACCCCAGAGGACTGTGGCATTACCGATGCTTTCATGGTCTTATTGGATGAGCGCGGTTTTGCACTGGGTGAGCCGGGAGCGCGGTGGATTGATGAGGGGATGGTCATCGCCATGTGCGTAGCGCTTTGGGTGGGTATGGTCAAGAGAGGGGAGATTGAAGTTGATAGGTCGAAGGGAGAGAGGATTGGACTGAGAGATCAGGGTGATAAAAAGTGGACGAAGGATGATATCGATTGGGCGAGTAACGAGAGTGCGTATTTTGAGCGGAAGAGGAGGGAGTTCGATGGGTTACCTAGTTGGAAGAACAAGGCCTGATGCGTTGTAGCTTGTCTCGTCGGTTAGAGAAGCTGGACACTTTTGTGCCAGTAATAGCGGGTCGAATCCCTTGGTCTGCATAGCAGTTTGTGACCTGATCGTAGCTCTTCCTACATGCGAGGACGTGGCAATCCTACATGCAGCTTATTCCATATAGATCTCATCCCTCAGCCTCCTGAGAAACCCGGGTCCTGCTCCACTTGCACTCGTCTCCACTCCTCTGACCGCACTTCCCTCTCTCTTCTCCAGCATAGGCCTCCCACTAGCTTTCCCCCTTCCTTCCCTATCTTCAACAACAGCCTCCAATCCATCGAGCCACTTTCCCCTCGCTCTCTCCTCGCTCGTACCCTTCCATATCTCGCACACATCCCTCAATTCCTGTACTCTCGCTTTGGCCGTTGCCAAATCTCCTCGCTCCAGCATCTCCAATACTTCCTGTTTAAACCGAGCCAGGGCAGCTTGGCCTTTGGACTCGAGATCCGGATCTACGTTCGGCGCAGAGACGGAGATGAGAGAAGATGTAGTCGTTGCCAATAGGGAAGGCGGCATTGGGAACGACAAGGCGAGGTTGAAGCGCTGGATTACGGTCTGCAAAGACGAGCGGACTTGCAGGAAGATCCGGAGGTGGGGCAGAGCTTCGGGTTCTCTCTTCGATGGATCGGATGGGAGGGAGGGTTTGCGAGGGGCGCTCGGTGATGCCGGCTGGCTGCCATGCCTGGTCCGCGCAGGTGACGAGGGGACGTCCGTGGGCGAGGACGCAGCGTCCAAGCCTTTTGGCACGAATCCCCGTATCGCCTCGTCCAGACGCCCGCTCGATGAGAGCGAATCGGCAAGCGACAGCGCTTCCCCGCGCAGCAATTCGACTTCGTAAGCGAGCCGCGAGCTGGTGCGCAGGATGTCGTCCGTGAGGCTCGTGAGGGTTGTGGAAAGGCGGGTCGTCTGGGCGGCGAGGGCGGAGATTTGGGTTTGGGTTTGGGTGGCTATGGATGAGAGGGTCGGGGTGGGCTTCGAGGTGGTGGTGGGGAGGGTGTCGTTGAGGTAGGCGGTTGGGGAGAAGGTGGGTGAGAGGAAGGGGTGGAGGAGGGGTTCGGCGATGTGAGGGTTCGGAGGTCGGGACAGTTCCATTGCGAGGCTCGGATTTGAGCTGTCGTCAATGTGGTAGAGATCCGAGGGTCTCTTCACTTTAAATCCCTTTGAAAGTAAGGTGTTGTTTTAGTGTAGTGGTGCTGCTTGAAGATTCCCGTCTCTTGTCCCACTCCCCACATTTTTGATAGAGCTGGCTGACGTTCCTGAGCTATTATAGCTGCCGGAGCTAAGATAACGATAACCTGGCAAGGATCTGGGGTTGAATCCTTGGAGGCTCGCGATGGGATCACAGCCTTGTCCAAAACAATGTGGGATTGTTGCCTGAGAACAGCTCACCTAATACGCTCAGGATATGAGGTAATGGGTCTTCTTTTTTTGTTTGATACTTGGAGTTCTTAGATGTTTAGGTCATCGCATACTGAAGTAGAATCATTCTCACAACCCAAATATTTCTGGAACGGCAAGCACGTCTACGGCAAGAAGCCAAGCACAGACTCAATTGGAAGACTCACTTCCCCTTGACACACCACTTCCCACAACACTTAGACTTCATTTTAATAGCAACACTCCCACTCTTAATAGAACTCCCCAGTCGTTATTCTTTCCGAACACTATCTCTCTCTCTTTTTTCCCACATCTTAGCCTCTGTGGAAGGTTACACAACCAATACACTCTCCCACTGCCACCATGCCTCGCAAGGCGTTTGTTGCTGACCTGCAGGAGGCCACCAAGGTCTTTGACCGAATTAATGTGTCACGTCTAAAAGCAGGGGAGGAAGATGGCATGATCAACTTCCACTATCACATAAGTGACGGAGATGCTACAGAAATTACAATCATGGTTCCGGGTGAGTGAACCCCCTAGCTGTCTAAGGCATGGTGGTATGAGCAACCGACAATCAGAAAAAAGGATACCACGAGGAGCTCATCTGACGGAGATCACTGATTTTGGTTACAGATCTTGGAGAATATCCCGAATCACATATGTACATGTTTTACACGAATTCTGAAAATGTGCCCCAATCCATCCACTCAGCGTTAGACGACATGAGCAACTGCCCTGGCATGAAAGTCTCGGACATGATGGCCAAAATTGTTAAGACACTTGACAGGGCAACCGCGGGCTCCAGACACAATCCCGTGGACATTGACGATGGTGATCCTATGCAGATTGACTCCGATCTCGAGCCCGAAGAATCTGACGACCCAGATGAATATGACAGCGACGCCGGGGTCTGGTCCCCAAAATCGCCAAAGCATCACTCATCGAACAGTGCTCCGCAGCTGGGTCTGGGTGATCGCACCACTATCCGGGCCTCGAATGCAAGAATCCGCAAGGATCTTCGTTTGGCAAAAGACGCTGGCTTTCGAATTTCCTACCTCGGTAACTTGCTCAACAATGGCCAAGACGGATTTGTGACTATTGCATGCCGTGTTGCTAAGCTTGGTATCTCGGACGAAGCTTTACAAGCATGGCATCTGGAACAAAACCAGTACTTCATGCTGCTCATACGATACACCGCCGGCTACAAGGATTTAGACCGCCTTATCGGCCAGAGCATGTCTTATGGTAGTAGTGGAGTGCAAATGCGTGTGGGCTTGAGCTCCAAGTATAAGATTGCAATAGATGAGGCCATCGCTGCCTTCGCAGTCTTGGAAGACAAGAGCAAGTCTCGGAAGCTCATTACTACTCAAGCACCTAGTACGTCTAAGAAAGGAGTCTTAGGTCGTATCTTCATCGGCAAACCACTTGACGATGTCTTGAACGACCGACTCATACCCCTGCTCAGGTACCGCAAAGCAATGGGCTTTGACTGGAGTGGCGCCGAAGAGTTCTTCAATGATAATCAAGGCCGGAATCTCGATGAAGAAAATGCTATAGACCCCAAATACTGGGCCGAGAGTCCTTCCAACCATCTGGAGACATTACCAAAGCTCGTGACCCAGGATCATATGACCGGTAACCAGAAGGAGCGCTCATTTCCTCTGGCGGCCATGCAATTCGCACTGCGTCACCTTGTCCGATGCACAGAATTCTGCTTGGTTTGCAACTGCAAAGTGGAGGCCGATTTCGAAGCTCTGAAACCCTATGTCTGCTCGAGACCATTATGCTTATACCAGTATATGAGCTTGGGTTTCGGACCGAGCATCGAACACGAAATCATAACGCAGCCTCATGTCGTCGATCTTCTAGTCAGCTTCTGTTACACGAGTGCCACTTATCGCAAGCTTCGATACCTTCCTACTGGTATGGCTCTTATGGTTCCAGCACCAAAACTCATGACGGACCGCCAAGCCTCTAATATCAGCTATGAAATGTCATACCCTCCCTTACCCTACCCTATGACTGATGGAGTCAACTCTTATCAGACTCCTAAGAGACAAGGATTCGTGCAAGAAATCTCAACCTACAAAGCAAAATTTGATCGCCAGAAAATGGAGCTTCTGTTTCCCCCCGGCGCCGCGCAAGTGCTGTATCCTGGCAATTGGGTATCTTTTGTTCTTCCCACGCTACAAGAGGAACGTTATCATTGCAGAGTGATCGAGGTATTGTATCCAGCGGTCAAACTAGCTGCACCAGTGGTTCGGGCTGTGAGGAAGACTGGAAAAGCTGACCAGCCGGCTGCTATGGGTGTCTCCCAGCGACACCTTTCGAGTACGAACAGAGCCAACATACCAAGCACTTTGACCCCAGCTACAACCCCCCCACCAACCATCTTCGCGGAAACCTCAACGAATCAGCACCCGGAGGTCCAATTCATTGTCTATGATCAGAATTTCGACGATCTCGACAACCATGAAAAGCAGGACTCAATCTGTATGCTGCTAGAGACCCTGCCCAGTGTGCAACAGATGGGCGATTATCTTCGGAGCAAGGGCGGCCAGGACACTTCCTTACGCCAATGGGCTGAGCGAATCTCACCAGCAGCGCTTGGTGTCCTTCGTTGGATTATTGCTTCAAATCGCTCCTGCATCATCCAAGTCGACAGCCTCGAGGGAAGCGACCGTAAGTCTGAAGAGAGAGTTTCCGGGATGCCTGGCTGGATGCAATTCCGCTTCGCTCAAGGTGCCCCAGACAAAGAACAGAGATTCGTGACATCGATACGTGATACAACACCGAATGCGAAACATCCTACCATCTTTGCGTGGCATGGTAGTCCCTTGCACAACTGGCACGGCATCGTCAGAGAGGGTCTGCATTTCGAGAAGACTGATCATGGCAGAGCTTTCGGCAATGGTGTCTATCATTCCTTGCACGCCCACACTAGCGTCGGGTACAGCAATATGGGAGTCTCGTATCGCGGCTACAGCGGTGAAGATATTGGATTAGCTCCCGGGATGTGGCCTCACAGTCAGCTGAGGATATCGCAGGCAATCGCCCTGAATGAGATTGTGAATGCCCCTTCGCAGTTTGTTAGCAAGAATCCGCACCTTGTCGTGGCCCAGCTCGACTGGATTCAGTCGCGTTATTTGTTCGTCAGGTGCAACATCCAGGGAATGCAGCTTCAGGATAGTCCACCGACCCAAGTGTACGAACAAGATCCTTCGTATACGCCTGTTGGGGAGAAGAGCTCACAGATTATTATGCCCGTCACTGCGGTCAGCAAATCCCGGAGACCTGTGTCAAAGGCTGTCACCGTTAAGACTGGAAATAAGAAAGTTAAAGTTGCAAATGTACAAGAGCTGGAAGAAATTGCCATGATAAGTGATAACACGGACTATGAAGATCTTGAGGTATTGTTTTCGGACACAGAAGAGAAGACAGAAGCTCCTCCGTCACAGTCGAACAAAGGAAAGGGCAAAGCTCTTCCGAAGCTCCCATACTCAGCTAGACCTGATGCATCGAAGACAGACTTTGTGCCCGGCAGTCTCAATCACAAAACGCTCCATCTACTCGAGCCACCTTCCTACGCGACCTCAATGGCCACCAAAGCGCTACAACGGGAATTGACCGCCACGCTGAAAGTCCAGGACACACACCCAGCTCATGAATTGGGATGGTACATCGACCGGGAACTCATCAACAATGTCTATCAATGGATCGTGGAATTACACTCTTTCGAATCGCACCTTCCCCTAGCCGAAGACATGAAGTCTAAAGGCATCAAGAGTGTGGTCATGGAGATTCGATTCGGCAAGAATTATCCTATGAGCCCACCCTTCGTCCGTGTCCTTCGTCCTCGTTTCTTGAGCTTCATGTCAGGTGGAGGCGGTCACGTTACCGCTGGTGGGGCACTGTGCATGGAGCTCCTTACCAACTCTGGCTGGAGCGCTGTCTCGAATATCGAATCAGTTCTCTTGCAGGTCCGACTCGCAATGTCGTCCACGGATCCAAAGCCAGCACGTCTAGAGCCAGGAGTTGTTAGGGACTATCAGGTAGGAGAAGCTGTGGAGGCGTTCGTTAGGGCCTGTCATACACACGGCGTAAGTACATATCCCAAATACAAAGTGGCATTCAATCTAACTCGGAGACAGTGGGAAGTACCCGAGGACTTCAAATCGTCACATGGGGGAGTAATGGGTGGAATCTCCGGCTTCAGGCAGAGATAATGATCAGACTTGAGGACAATCGTGCGACACTGCTCGGTGTTCAAAGCGTTGGGTGTGTTTAACTCACGGAGTAATGACTAGTAGTGCATTAAGGAGCTATGAGGTAATGCATTACGGGATACGAGGCCATGCGATCAAAGGAAAGCGGAAAAGGGAAGGCATGAATTGTCTGGGAGGGGATCATGATGATATCGGGAATAGAGTCGTCTCGGTTTTTCTTCAGCATAGGCAGTGGTTCGTCTTCTCAATGCAAACATCTTTCAGAAGCGTCTTGTGCCCAGTGGAATGGGTAGCATTGAAGGCCACGAAAAGAAAGAAAAGGCCGCGCCAAAACATTCTGCTAAATTACCTATTCGTTTCCAAACCTGCGTCCTGAATGCAAAAATCAAGCTTATTCCCTTGGTTGATGATGCTTCAGGTCAAGCTGTTCACGTATGAAGTCTATTGGGGTGGGGTGGTGTCGCAGGTACTCCGTGAGGTACCTCTGACCCACACCAGCACCATTAGAAGACGACGCTAGATCAACATCTTCTTTGATAATCCGCAACGCCCACAGGCAATAGATCCAACTTTGATTGCTGAATCAAGGTATATGCGGGCCACTGGGATGGTCGAATGTCTGCCTGGAGATATGAAACAGCATGATGACTCGTATTGGCGAGGGGCTGTGAAGATGCCGCCTGCGCCTCAGCCCGTCCTCAACGGAGGTAGATTCCTCTCCTTACAGCTTCACAGTTATTCGTCTCTTACACCTACTTCTCAACTCTTAATCCCTCTCTTCTACTTCCTGCCGTGAAAGTCTCAAGCTGCCCGCCAGTCTTCGCTATTTCTGCTCCACCATGCACACCAGGCCGAGCACTGTGCCCCTACGGCCCTCGACCTCAACCTCTGCCGTCACTTCTAACTCAAGCCGTGACGGAGTCTACAAAGAGTTCTACCAAAATAGCACCGCTCCTCGCATCAAAAGCGACGTAGTCCTCGTCGAAGCACTTCGCAAGCAATACCCCTCACTTCACGTCACCGTCGTTCCTAGCTACCAATGCAATTTCCTTGTGTACGCCGCAACCGGGCATGCCAGCGCAACCCCCATCGATGCAGAGAATGCCTCAACGGAGAACTTGAAACACAGACAATATATGGCACCGGCCAAGAGAATGGATGGCGGTTCGGGATTCCTCTATGACTCGGTGCAATTCGGGAAATGGATGTATAAGTGGGAGTCGAAAGAGTACATTCTCTACTATATCGCCGGATCCGACGGTCCCTACAATAGCCCTATGAACTACCTCCTTGGCTCCACGCCCATGGTGAATGACGAGCTCATGCTCGCGGCATGCAGATGGCAAAACTCCATCCGCAAGTCCGTCCTCGTCTTCGACGGTGGCTACTGGCAATACAGTTCTGAGCTCTGGCAAAGCATCCAGAAAGCGAATTGGGAAGACGTCATCCTAGACGCGGAGATGAAAAAGAACATTATTGGCGAAGTTACCAAATTCTTCAACTCGAAAGACCGGTACAAGAAGCTCCGTGTGCCGTGGAAGAGGGGCGTCATTTTTCATGGCCCGCCAGGGAACGGTAAGACGATTTCCATCAAGGCCATGATGCATTCGCTCTACGATAGGGATGACCCAATTCCCACGCTGTACGTGAGGAGTCTGGCAAGCTATGGGGGGCCGGAGCATGCGATCAGTTTGATTTTCAGTAAGGCGAGGCAAATGGCGTCGTGCCTCCTGGTCTTCGAGGATCTGGACAGTATTGTCTCTGATGCCGTCCGCTCCTATTTCTTGAATGAAGTGGATGGGCTGCAGAATAACGACGGCATCATGATGGTCGGGAGTACCAATCACCTCGAGAGGCTGGATCCGGGTATTAGCAAGAGGCCGAGCAGATTCGATAGGAAGTATCTGTTTCCGGACCCCAATATGGAAGAGAGGGTGAAGTACTGTGAATTTTGGAGAAAGAAACTGGACAGCAATGAGGACGTGGAGTTTCCGAAGGCTCTCTGCGAGGCGATCGCGGGCATTACGAAGGGCTTCAGTTTTGCTTATATTCAGGAGGCCTTTGTGGCGGCGTTGTTGGTTATTGCTAATGGAGATGCCGGCGAAGAGATAAAGGGAGAAGGGCCGTTTGGGAAGGAACACGAGTACAAGCGGTGTGTTTGCAAGAAGTCGGATTTCGAAATGATGGTGAGGAGCAAGGTGGAGGATGAGAAGCACTTGGAGAAGTATTTGCTTTGGAGGGAGATAAAGAAGGTGATCAAGACGCTGAGGGAGGAGCTGGAAATGGAGAAGGGTGTCGAGGGTTTCGCATGTGGCTTCGATTGTGAGAAGATTGGTACTTAGTGCATACACATATAGCATTAGGAGTAAGGCTTCATGATTTCTAACATTTTCGACCTGAATTCTCACCGTCCTACTTCCCTCGAATGTATGTGATTTCCTGATACAGATGGCACGGATTGAGGCAGGCAGGTATACTCGTGAACTTTCTGTGCTGTGATGGCTAGATGTCTAGATGAATCCATCGCCATTACTGATGCACGCATAGCAGAGCGACCTCTTAGCTTCTCGGATGCTCCTTTGCCGTGAAGACGATCCTCAATGCCTCTAGAAAGCCAGAAGATGCCAGCCAGCGGGACGGCGAGTGCAAGAACCTCGCAGTCCGAAGGGGCACCACGGCCATAGGCGCTACACTTGATGAGGGATGATGCCTAGCCATACCGAGAGCTGTGTCCCAGCCTGCGTCAAGCTGCTCCATCCTTCCCCCCAGCCCCTTCCCCTCCCTGCCCGTTCCCCTCCCGAGCGCCATCACCACCATCACCATCACCGTTAGCTCCCGCCTGTCTACTCGCCTCATACTCGTACAGGAAATCCTTCCCCCGCCCCTCGTCCCTCTCGTCCTCCGGCGCCAGATAGAGCGGCCGCTCGGCGGCCCGGGTCCAGAACATCATCGACTTGGCGCCGATGCCGGCCCTGCCCCCGTCGTAGACGGAGCCCAGCGCGCGGAACAGGGCCGCCGCGTGCCCTTCGAGCCCGAGCACGCGCAGGCAGCGGACGATGCGCGTGATGCGCAGGTGGTTGTGGTCGAAGCGCCGGACCCAGTTCCGGGACGCGCGGGCGAAGTTGGCGCCGCGCACGATCTCGGGGCGCGGATCGTCGTCGTCGTCGTCGTCGTCCCGGGCCGGTGGTCGTTGCGACCGGGCGGGCAGGTCGAGGCCGTAGAAGTGCAGCATGCGGGTCAGGGAGGTCAGGAGTCGGGAGCGGAGGTCCGGGCGGGAGCGGAAGGCGGCGAAGGTGGCGCGGTCGATGACGGGGGCGGTGGGGTGGTAGGGGGAGGGTTCGGGGAGCGGGAAGAGCAGTTGGATGTAGTCGTGGCGGTGTTCGAGGTCGGTGTCCGGGAGGGCGAGGATCGAGGACACGGTGCGGCCGGAGGGGTCGGGGGCTTGGATGGCGGGGTCGTAGAAGCGGACGAGGGTGGGGGTGGTGCTGGGGTTGGTGGGCATGGTGGTGGGGTGGTATGTTGTCTGGTGACGGGTTTGAAGGTGGTGGGCGCTTGCAAGGCGTTGGTGGTGATGAGGCTGTTTGGTTTTTGAGGGTGGGTACTTTGGAAGGGTGCTGAGTGCTGCGTGAGGAGGAAACTCGAAAAGATGGCTTGTGTCAGTGTGGAGAGTTGAGGTGAGCGAGGCTCTTAGTTGACGGAATGAGGAAGTGTTATGCATGGGAGTAAGAGGCAACACTCAAGCCGAGTAACCCATGCTTTGGGTCAGTATCTTTTCTTTAATAGATTTTCACACACTCATTCACTTGAAATGGTACGTTGTGCGAGTACTGGCAGTGTACTTCAGAATACCTTCGTCAAAAGTGCTTGCCAAGATATACAGATAATCACGTGATCTAGCCCGACCTCAACACGCCAAGACATACTCGTAGCCAGCATCAGTGCTGCTTTATTGAAAGCCCGAGACATCAAGCACCTACGCAAGCTGCCGGATGATTCAGCTGGTCCAATGCCAGCAAAAATTTCCTCTGTCTTGGCAATATTATTTGATGTCTTAGTCTCTCAGGTCATGGCGGCATGGCCTTTGCTAGTCTCAGTAGCCCCACGTCTAGAAGGGGGGATGCCGTAATGAGCTTGCGATATGATTGGCCCCGAAGCGAGGAACGAGTGTAGGGCTGGCCATAGGATACTCGTACCCCGCTAAGCGAGTCTGAAAACTGAGACTAGGCCTTTGCATTGCTTTTCGCCATGACATGTGTGATGCGATAATACCATCCTTGTCACACTCGAGTGCTTTCTATATCGTCGTGGGCTCATGGTAGAGCTTTTTTACTCAAAACCAAATCCCGTCTGATCTGAATAAGCAATCAATCAATGCCCTCGGTGTTTGACATTCTCGGAGTTCAATCCGCGCCCCCTGTTTTGCAGCAAAGCCCGTCACCACAAAAATTTCACAACCATCACTCAGACGACTTGGTCTGAACACTTTACACAAGACTGCGAATCAAGCTCACTCATCACCTGTTTTGTTGAGGAATGTATATCAAAACTCGTCTCGTCGTTTTGAAAGGCGTACTCTATGTGCCGACATCCGAAGTTTTCGCTTTCACGAAACGATCATAAGTATATTGACCCGAAGTTTTTGAGTCCGGTGATATTGTTTAGTGATAAAAATATGAACGTGCGAAGTTCGGGGTTTGCTCTGAAACCTGAGTTGGACCTGAACCCCCATCACCCCCAAATTCGTGGCGCACAAAGAGGTCAGAGTAGTAGAGGCCTGTCTCCAAAGTGCGCCCGAGTGGCAAAGCCTCTCTAAACGCAAGGCTCAAATCATTTTTGTTGCGACCTGCGAATCGTGGCACACACTTAGTGATCCCGAGAATGGTTGCTGAGAATCCTTTACATCTGAGAGGCCGGAAAAGTTTGTTTGACCTTCGAAGGAGTACAAGGGCGGCAAGGAGAACGCTTCCGAGTTGCAGCTTCAATTTCATTTGACCGGCGAACATCTTTGCTCGTGTTGACACCCACATCCCAGCCGAATTTCTGCATGGCTGTAATTACTCATACAGTAGCTTACTGCGTACGTGAGCAAATGGAGGAGAATCCCGTGAGACGTAGCCTCCTAGCCTCTGTGGACTCTCAATGTGAACTATGATGGCATTCGAGACGCAACGATATATAGTGATGCAAGCAACCTTCGCCCCTCGACAGACCACTCCCCTTTTGCCTATTTCCTGCGAAATTATTCAGGGTCGAAAACCCTCAGTCTAACAATCAACGGAAGAAATCAGTATTTCCTTGGCTCCTGGGACCTGCCAGCCTTGGCCTTGATACCACGTACTCGGTGTCGATAGGAACATTATCACTCCATAAGGAAATGTCGACCCTTACTCCTACAATAGCGTCAGCCGATCAGCTCCTCGATATCTACGACTCTCGAGTCCAAGCAGTTGTTGTCTCGCTGGCCGTGTGCCTGCCTGCAGCCTACATAGCAGTCGTCCTACCATTCGTCTCGAGACGGATTGGTAAGGTGCCATTGGAGGCTGACGACTGGTGGCTTGTTGTTGGCCTGGTCAGTCGTCGCCTGCTTTCAAAGCTCCCCTGCCTTGGATATTGGACTAACCTGATACCGTCGTACAAACACTTGTTCGCGAGCGGATTCGTCGCCTGCGGGACTGTTGTTACTCACTTGGGCCTTGGTCGCCACGTCGAACACCCTGTCACCTTCGCGAAAGTGCTGTCCGCCTTTTCCCTTTTCTCTTCCTTATCCGTCTCACTTGCTTTTTCTCTACCTCTTCCTTTCCCCTATTATCACATTTGCAAGCCACTGACTATGTGTCTTTGACTGTAGGTCATCATCGCAAACGAAGTGTTATACAATCCAGCCATTGTCGCGATCAAGACGTCAATCCTACTCCTTTATCGTCGTACTTTCACAGAACGATATTTCAATTCCTCCTTCAAGACGAGTCTCTGGTGCACCGGTGCCTTCGTCCTCTCCTACAGCGTTTGCCAGGCCGTTCTGACCGTGTTTCGCTGCACCCCCGTTGAGGCACTATGGGATCCCATTATCGAAGGGAAGTGCATCAATTTCGACGACGTGCTCATTGTCCTCTCATCTCTCAACATTGGAACCGACGTCTTGATTCTGTGCTTGCCGGTGCCCCAACTGTGAAAAGTGAGTATGCCGACAAGGCGGAAATGCCAGTTGATAGGCATATTCTTTCTTGGTGGACTGTTCGTTTTCCCTCCGTCTCTGGCGATGGACTACTGAAAGTGCTTAGTGTCTGCGTCGCAAGTGTCATTCGAGTCCCCTATATCGCCCACATATCACTAGTCGATCCCTCGTGGTCCGACATCGATGGAGTCATCTGGTCTGTCGTCGAGCTGAACCTGGGGATCGTCAGCGCATGTTTGCCTACCCTTCGTCTTCTCGTCATCCACGTCTTTCACGGTGGCTGCATTGCCAGACCAAACGTTCATTTGCCTGGTAGAAAGCTTAGAATGAGCACAGAAGATGAACTCTTGGACCCAGTTTCAATGACCGAACTCCCGGACACAAATTCGATCGTCGTACTCAAAGCTTCAAAACGTATTTCTTTGTGCGCAATAATGCGCTCGCTAATCAGCAGCGATGAACATCAGGGAACATGATTGTATGCTAGATGTTAGGTGCAATAACGTGCGAAAATCTTACGGGAGTATCGTCTGCTTTGTTTATGCTATGAACCTTATACATGACGGAGGAGAATCTGGATCGATCTATGTTGTGTAGGAATGGGATGCATCTAAGAATGCTTCGAGCAACAATACTGCGTTTAGCAATCCTTTCTTCATTAGTGATACAAATGGTTCAGTGGGTGTAACTTCGGGTGTAGACAATCCCGTGCCATTACAGTCAGGCATGGAGGTTCGAGAAAAGGGATCTAAAAACTCTGCGGGACAGTCACACGTGGGATCATCTTTGGCACACGCGAGTCTAGCGTGAGCGCTGTCGACTCTCTGGATGCTATGAGCCTTATGGTCAAGGGGCGAAACACGAGATGATTCAAGGAAGTTGCGGCGCAATTCTGATCACCGACTGCGTGAGCTTCTTAGGGGGGTCTTATTGAATGACGGGATTTGTTGCTATACTGTTGTATATTCAGATCATGTGACACAGGGATAACCAAGCCAGCAGTAGCGCATGAAGTGCTCGTTGGATAAGATGCTCGGTCGCTTCTGTCTTCAAATCTGCGGTCTTAATGTTCACAAAAAGCAATGATCCTGCCGTGCATGAGATCTTACCGCTGGAAGAAGTCCTGTCTTATGTGCATGATAAGGCTAAGGCTAAAGCCTTGCATGTATTGGTGCATAGCGGGGTTCTAGACCTCGACCTGCTTTATGAATACATGTCGCACGACCTTTGTTTCGTTTATTCTTCTTATGTTGCTCACATCTGGATTTCTGACTCGGATTTAATCACTTGAATGGTTATGTCAAGGTCTAGAATCTCTTTGCTTGACGACATGCTAATCTACTCTTATCTGTGAGGCTATGACCCCGAAAAATTAGAAATCAGAAAGAAGACGTCTTGATCCATCCCGCTATGCATCACGGGCTAGAAGGTCACTCATTTCAGACCAATTGAAAGTTGCAAGACTCACCGGCTGATGTGCATAACGGGCTGGACGCGTCGGGTTCAGTGGCAGGCGCCACAGGTCTAACCGCTGCCGTACTCTTACTGCTGATGTTCATCACGACAAGCACCTACGCTTCGACTTCCTGACAACTCTCTGCTTTCGCTAGAGATGATGGGATGCCGATTTCGAACTGGCTGGCTCGTGTACTTACTCCGCACTTGATCTCTGTACAGACAGAGAAGTATGTAGCTAATCACAACAGGTGCGCCCAAAATGCCAAGTACCCGGCAATTCCATCCTCGTGACCTGCAACTTCACCATCGCCATGTCCTTCATCAATATCGGCTCAACCGTCGCCTTCGGCAGTGCTCTCCCTTCGCGTGGGCGCCCTCATGGCCACCTACGGTATCTCGATCGGCTGCATCCTTATGAAATGCATCCGTGGCGAACCTTTCCATCCCGCTCGTCGGACCTTGGGCAAAGCGGGTATCTACGTTAATACAGTAGCGATGATCTACATCGTTTTGGCTTGCTTTTGGAGCTTCTGGCCGATTGGCAATGAGCCGAGCGCGCAGACTTTCAATTGGGCTGTGGTTCTGTTTTGGGGGGTTATGGGGATAGCGTTTTTGGAGTATATCGTGCATGCTTGGAGGTACTATGAGGGGCCAGTGGTGAAAGTTGAGGGAAAGTCATGAAGGGATTGTGGTGCAGAGTATTGCCAAGGCGCCCAATGATCCAAACCGTCCGTCTAAAGGCTTTGGACGGTCCAACCTGGACCGTTCGGGGACGTCTGTCCAGAATTTGGGGCCGGGCCATCGGGCGCCTTGCTGAGAATTGCCGTTGGGGGGGGGGGGGTGAAGATTATGTAGATATCGATTCAATGGGCTAGAGGCCTGCTCTAATTCCAATCAATTGGACTACCCTTTGTAGAAAACTTGGCCACGGACGCCCCGTTGTAATTGAAAGTCTGGGTCACGTGACATGCCTCACAATAGCGTAGCGCGTCCGATTGAAAAGTAGCGTTTTCCTCTGTATTGCTCTTGGACTAATGCAAACAACTGTCCAGCCTTACATTTTGACATCCTTTCAACCCAACCGCATGTTTGGCCTCTTATCATCCTGCCGAGGGTTCTCGACTCGTAACTCTCATGGCTAAATGAAGTCCATCAATATCTGGTCTCATTACCAGTATTGAAATTACCAAGCCCGACCAAACGTTTGGGCATCTTCCTCCACACAAGCCATTATGCCTATATCTACAGTATCTGATCAGATTTATTGCATGAGGCAAACCGGGTCTAAAGTTGATGGGCTACAATCGGCTTTGATTTACCTTCCGTCCTCGGCAACCCCAGCTTCATTCACTCCCCGCGCCCAACGCTCCCAGCTGCGCCCATACTTTTTCACTCAATCTGAGTTTAAAACACTTGTACGCAGGGTTCTATCATTGCAGGAGTCACATGCTTCTGCATTTACATCTGTCAGACAGGTAATATCATACTCATCCCAGATGAGAGTTCCGCAATTCGAATTGAACTAACACTGGGAACCTCTATGTGAGACTATTTGAAATTGTCACATCCATTTCACCATCACCTCAATCAAACGGCAAAACGACCGTCAAACGAAGCAAGCTCAAGTTTCATTCTCTTCGCAAAATGACGCACTTCCCTCAACTACCCAACGAGATGATCTCGGAATTCTGGGGATACTTCCAAGAGCCTAGAGACGTCGAGAATTTTGCCATAGTGTCGAAAGATATCTACGCTATAGGCAGACCGTTCGTGGAGGAGCACAACAAGCTGAAGAGAGAATATTCAATCTTCGAAACAGGACCGGGCACCCGTGCAAGTGCCCCAGCGTTCCTGCTCAAGGATGTCCTTCTCCGGCCACGCTTTGCTCTTTACGTCACCCACCTCTCTATCGGCCGCTTCAGGACGAATGGCAGGACTCAGATGGAGATGGTGATGATCATATATCATACTCAGAAGAGTGGCCAAAAACTCGTCATACCCCTTATCCGAATGATGATATAGCGCTGTTCATCGAAGCGATTAAGATAGCCAGCTTCGTACCGCAGAATGATATTAGGCGCTGGATCAAAAAGGTCAGGGCAGGGGGTGAGGATCCAATCTTGGCACTTCTGTCCTTGCTTCTTCCTGAGCTCGCCACAATAACACTGACGAGCATCGCGGACATCTCGAATAAGTTCCCGGAGACTATCCAGCGCATTGCCCGGGCAGAGGATCGAACTTTTCTTACGCACCTTACGAGGGTGAATCTCTTTATTGAGTTCCCAATCGACGATTATTTCCTGGACTGGTTGTGGCTGAAGATATTCACTAGTCTACCACTGGTACAACCTATACACGTCAAAGACTTGATTGTCACACAGGATCATGATGATCTAGTCAACGAGGGGCAACGTCTCATGTCAGGCAGTTCTTGCATCACGGAAGTGACGTTCGTCAAAAGTGGAGTGGGCGCGAAAACGCTGTTTCAGCTTCTCCAAAGTATCAAAGGGTTGAAGGAATTCACTTACGTGGAGCCGATTCAGGAATTCAAAAAATTCGAGCCATTCTGGATGCGAGCCGCTCTGCTAGCCCACGCAAAGCAGTCCCTTGAGTCTCTAAGAATAACTTCCAGTCAGACCGAAGAATTCGGACTCCTAGGATCTTTTCGTGGCTTTCCAAATCTGCGAAAGCTAGAGACTAATGTCCACTTCCTCAGCCCTCGGGCCCCATTTGATGAGTTGGCAGACCTGCTCCCAGCTTCAATCGAAGAAATTTACCTGCATACTGGGGATCATCGGTGTTGTGACAGCGTATCACCACTGATCGAGACCTTTAAAAAAGCAAAGTCGCAGCTTCTTCCCAATTTGAGAGTGCTCAAGCTGACTTCGGAGCCCGAGATGGGAACTGAGCAGGGGGGCAAGGACTTGATTAAGACCTTGGAAAAGACGTGTCGGAATGTTGGGATCGAGCTAACGGTTATTTCAGGCTAGCAAAGGGAAAAGTCCTGGTCTGCGCGGTCAATCTTAAAATTTCATAGAGCAGTGGGACCGTCACGAAGGACGAAGGAAGCAAGTGAACAGTGACCCATTGCAGTAGCAACCGAGCTCAGTAGAAGGAGAAGTGTTAAACGTCTAATTCCCATATTCGGGATGCTCCACTTTCAATCTTCCCGCCATGTGATCCCAATATCCACCTTCTTCCAGCTCTGCGGATTGATCCAAACTGATCTGCAGGCATAAGGCGCGGGTGCAGAAGCTGGCCCTTGATGACATTCGTAGTGTCCACAAATCCAGCCACTGATGGAATGACCATGTTTTGGTCTGCCAGGAGAACAGCTTGCCCGTCGACGTCCGGCAACGCGGCTAGATATAGGTGGCGGTGAGTGAAAATGATTGGAGGATAATTTCGTTATACCACAGGTTTAGGATCAGTCTTTCCCCACATAATTCCATAGTCCACAAGGGCCATTTGAGATATTTGTGTACACTCCAGGTGCGACACCACTGTCGCTTTGATATGTCCCGATTTCAAATGCGTTCAAGCATGTAGAGCCCGAATTGGCCAGGAAGAGGGTACAGCTTTGAAAACCAGGAGCACCACCAAATGCATCCTCCCCGCAGCCCTTGCTGTTAAGACGTGCGGCACAACAGTCTAATGCATTTGCTACCAATAGTTCCACGTAATTGCTGCTGGCGCCAACGGCACTGATGCCATTTATCCCCTTTCCATCCGTCCCCTGATCGATAATATCATCAGGGGCGCATAGTCTGAGTTGGTGCTGATTAGGGGGAAACTAGCGAATATGACGATAATCCAAGGTCGACTTACAGTGTAGGCGGATTTGAACAACTGTCGAAGTTGCTAGCGATCAGAGAGTCCTCTAGAGTATCTATTGTAAGCTCCAAACCTGGGAAGATGCTACCCTCGGGGCAGAGTGTTCCATCGGATCCAGGCGACTTTTTCATCTCGATGGCTTGCCGGCGAGTGCGGTTGCTTGGGTTATTTTCTTTAAACACCATTTGCATCATCGCCTTCGCCATCAGTGCAGTTATTACAGAAATACTGAAGAAGCGCTGAAAGGTGAAGGACCAGAGGAATATCGACTTGGAGTCCATGACGCCGGAGCCGAAGAATTGGAACGCGGGGTGGAGATCACTGATCCAGTAGAATTGGCACGCGAAGTCGAAAGTCATGACCTAGTACTATTTATATAAGAAGTTGAGAGGACCGGGAAAACCGAGGACGAAGCGAGTATTGCTATGCTGGACAGAGATTGGGTCCACTTCGGGCATTCAGCGGCTGTTGGTGCAGGAAAATTTTTGTCAGCACCTCGTTGCCAAATTATAGCAGGAAGAGCAACTAAACTCTGGGAGACCTACGATCAATGGCCCTCAGTGATACCGCGGTCAATTGGCTGGGCATAATCCCATGAAAAACTCCATAGAGCCTCTCAGAATCAGTCCCAAATCTGGTAGTTCCGCGCTCAAATGCATCATAGTTCCAAATAATGTTCCATCCGCAGCGATTGCGAAAATACTGCCTATTGCTGCAATATGTGCCGAGCTGCTTAATCGCTGCTCTGATACATACCTGGACACCAATATCTGATTTCCAACGAAGAATAAGAATCCAATGACAAGACGAAAAACTGAGTTTCGTTGGCAGGCTCTCCGAATTTGGCCTGCGAAATCGAGGTAAACGTGGTCAGAAGAGCTGCGGGGTGCAAGCAGCCCTGAATCCGGAACCACTTGAATCAGGATGTCTCGACCTGGTGCTGGAACGCTTGACTACGTGTTAGTGGAGGTCGATGAATCGAAATCTAGAAAACACCTGGTTGGGGCGCCACCATAGGTTGCCAGACAGATGGTCTCCTCCCGAGCTATCACCAACCCTGAGAGAGTCAAGCCGTTTGTCAGCGTGGTCCAGTTCATTGCTTTCAGTTCCAATTTCGAGCGTTAATCCAGGGTGTTCTTTTGGGTTGGATCGTTATAAGACTTGCGAGGGATGGAGTCGCGTGTGAACGAGGAATGCATCTTTTGCAGACATGATTTGCGGCTCTAAAGGAAAGGAACTCTCGGCGCTCGTGGGATGAGAAGGGGAAAAATTCGAGGCAATTTCTTGAAGGGACTTTCAAATTCTCCTGACTTTATTTTACGGAATCTTGACAAAAGCTTGATGTGTCGAGCCATCCCATGGAGTAAATCGACCAACTTAAGAGTTGCGAAGCCGCTTCATAGCTGGATATTCTCCTTTTTTAGGGAGTAAAGCGCAGGAACGTCCTTCATTCTCTCAGACTGGAGCTGCCATACACCCTGATGTCTTTCTACGGACATTGCTAGAAAGTTTGCCCCTGTTGGCGACGCAGAGACGAACAGCCCAATCGGTTTTGACCAATTGAAGCCTGAAGTGGAGCAGGTGCAAAGAAAGCCTTTTCACGCGGATATCTTGGCTTCAGAGTACATGAATCTCGTGCACTTGGATCAAAAATGTCTGTTGTGCCATGAGAACTTATCAGCTGAAGGCCTGTCGAGATTGAACGCTCACAGGATGAGGTTGAAGGAGACCAGAGTATCATTCGACTTCACAGCCGTCCGAGCACTCTGCGAAGGTGGAGTCGAGGAACATGCCGGACAAGGAATATAAGCTGTCCAAATTTCGATCAGGTCTGCTTGTCTTGATATCCTGCTTGGCTCTGAAAATGCCAACGCAACTCATGGCTGATCATGTATTCTAGTACTGTAGTGGCTCTGACTTGTGTACACCTGAGGTAGGGAAGGAACGCCACCACCACCACTGGCGGGCCGTTACGAGCGGTGACCCTAACCCCCTGCGGTCGTTGACATACCCCACATCCGAGCTGCATTTGTAATCTGCGGATCTTTGCTTTGGAATGCTTCGGTCTCTTTAATAGACCGCTTTCTTCTTCCCACCAAAGTTGATGCCGCAATCACTCTTCTGAAAGAGATAAATATCTATATCTTTCTCGGGTTTCAATCAAGTCAGGGTGGGATTCTTCTCGTCAGACATCTTCCTCAACATGCCTGAAAAAGTCTGAAGCATCCAAACCCCATGTGATACCACAGCTAACCTCCTGCCCAGGCCTCAATCCACAAGCACGCTGATGCTGATGGCCAATTCCGCCGCAAGCCCAGCCAATTCCGCGACTCCATCTCCTCATCGCCCGACTCCGAATTCCCTCCAGAAAAAGACCGCTATGCCCTCTACATCAATCAGGGTTGCCCTTGGGCACACCGCGCGAACCTCGTCCGCTCTCTCAAAGGCCTAGAATCCATCATCCAACTCATCGTCTGCGACTTCGAGCTCACGAAAGAGGGATGGCTCTTCACCGGCCGCGATGGCTCGGACGAGAAAGATCCACTGTATGGCTTTACCCGAATGCAAGACCTGTACAAGAAGGCCGATCCGGAGTACGAGGGGAGGTTTACGGTGCCCGCTTTGTGGGATAAGAAGGCGGAGACGATTGTGAATAACGAAAGCAGTGAGATTATAAGGATGTTCTACTCGGCATTCGACGAGCTGCTACCCGAGCATCTGCGCGAAGACGGGAAGCCGGGGGGTGGGTTCTATCCTGAGAAGTTGCAAAAGGAGATCGATGCGATGAACGACTGGGTCTACAATACTGTCAACAATGGTGTCTATAAGACCGGGTTTGCATCGACACAGGACGCTTACGAAGCGAATCTATATCCGCTGTTCGAATCACTGGATCGATTGGAAAAGCACCTCGGAGAACCGGGGCATCATCCATACCTGTTCGGCGAGTATATCACCGAAGCGGATATCAGGCTGTATACGACAATGATCAGGTTCGATGTTGCCTACTACAACATCTTCATGTGCAATTTGAAAATGATCAGGCACGACTACCCCAGATTGAGTCGGTGGTTGAGGAATCTTTATTGGGATGGAGGAAAGACGCTCAACGGGCACGCTTTCAAGGATACGGTGAACTTTTGGACCGTGAGTGTTTCTTGGGGGAGACATGGATTGAGGTTCGGTGCTAATTGGTGCTTGCAGTACAAGTATGGATACTTGAGATCCAAGGGCAGAGCTGAGCCGGACGCGAAACTTGTGGTACCGAAAGGGCCGGTGCCGGACATTCAGCCGCTGGATGATGATAAAGTGACAAACGGGCATTAGCCAAAAGTCATGGGATGACAATGTCAAGCAAATAGCCAATCAGGCAAAAGGCGCATGCACATTGTCCATGTGGGCCAATCTGAACGTGTATGGAAGCTAGGGGAAGCCAGCAACGCATTAGGAGAGCCTGCTAAGCCCAGCTCGACCACTGCCATTCTATGGGAACCCAAGCAGATGCAGTCCAAATCTCAGAACTTTCTGAACCCTTTCCCTCCAGACACCATCTCCTCCCCCATTTTCCTATGGTCCTCTCCGGGCTTCACCCACGCCTGCGTCGCATCTAGCATCTCTTTCTCCCCGAACTTCTTCCTGCAGTATTCCACAACAGCTTTGATCTCCCTCAAACTCTCCCTCTCCAATCCCTCCTCATTGCCCTCTCTTTTCTTCACCAATCCCTCCACCTTCCCAATAAACCGTGTCGCCTCTTCCTCCCCACCCTCCCACACCTCCTTAAACACCTCACTCTCTGCAACGTTCCTGTACCACGCTCTGGCATTATCGTAGTCCCCTTCGATCCTATGCAATATGCCATGCAAAAACATCCCCTCGTAGGCGGGCGGTGCTTGCATGTGGCGGACTAGGAAATGCGCTGAGGGCAGGTCATTGTTGAGGATGTGAAGGGCGACTTCAAGGGTGGGGTGTAGAGATAGATTGGAAATCTGGGCGGTGAGCTTGGTCGAGGTGGTTTTGGCTGGAGGGGCGAGGGGCGGAGGGAGGGCGAGGATGTGCGCGTAGAGAGCGGAGAAGGTGGGGTAGGCGGCTTCGGGATTAGGAGCAGCCATAGACAGAATGTGACGTTATGCTGGGAACCCTCCGATGAATGGTGGAGAGGAATGGATATGTTCAGACCAAGGTGTGGGAGAGATTCGAGGGAGTATGATCTTTCGTAGACGTCATTATTCTAGCCACTGGAAAACTCTTTCATAACATTAAGCCTCAATTGCTGAAGCCATATTTCGTGATTTTCGTGAGCGGTCTGGAGTTTGCGGTAAGTTCATGTTGAGGACGTATTGTCGCTTCATTTGCGAATCTGAAAGGAGCCTGGGTCCACCAGCCCCGCTACTCCTATGAGCTTTCCCCGCCATGCAAACTCACGACCTCCGCACTCGTCACAAGAACAAAATCTGCATTTGTGAGTGGCGTGTGCAGATTTCATAAGTCAATATCAGCGTCAGCAAGCAGCACCTTCTCCCACTCATCAACATCAACCTCTTCCATCTTCAATTCCCTCAGTGTCTTTTTAAAACCCCCTTCTTCAACCTCAATCTCGGCGTCTGTCTTCCTCTCAAGCGCTTTCAGCAACCCAACAATCACTTTCGTCTTGTTGTCCATCTTACCATTTCTCATCAGTAGTTCAGATTCGACGGTCCGCCAGTCTGGCTGAATGGTAAATCTGAGGCGCTTCGTCATGGATGGCTTCGTGGCTTGCTCTTCGGCCAGAAGCTTAAGGATCCGCAACACTGTTTTTCCGGTATGCGAAAAGTAACTGCGGCACTCGCCATCGCCCCATATCGCATGGCGCGAGGTAACAAGCTGTATCTTGTGCAGGCGTTGGAAGCAGTGTGGGTAGATAAAGCCGTGCGCTGTAGACTCAAGCCGCCCTTCGATTTCCAATTCTTTGACTATCGACGGTGTAGTACGCCAGTCCAACCTGTTCGCTGGCTCAACAGCCCCCTTAGCATCTTTGCGGAAGAGATCAGGCGGGTCAACGATGTGGTCAGGATAGTTGCCGCCGGTGCATTGCATTATTACTGGCGTGGCGAGATGGATTCGAACATTAGTGGTGTCGTAGAGGATTGAGACGGCTTCGGAGTAGATTTGCTTGTTCACCCGGAGGATGGTGGGGTCGAAGTCGAAGGAGGCTTCTCTGCCATGTCTGTCATGGTAAAGTGTGTGGACGCGGTCGGGATCAGGTCTGAGGAGTTGCTCATAGACCTTCGTACGTAGCTCGAAAGGGAGAGCGAGCAGTGGTGACGCTTGAGTAGCGGCGGCCATGTGTGATCTCGCTCAAGGAAATGCAGCGAAGAAGTATCTAAAGACAACGACTACGCGTGCTCGTAGACCTCTCGACGCCAAGGCCCTTATCTTATCAGATCATAGGGCTGACCGAATCCTTGGCAGTATCTTGAATCCACGCCACAGGGTCATAGGGTGGATTCAGAATACTGAGAGTTTTGAGGACAGCCAGGAACCGGCGTCGACGACATGATCGGCGCTGAGATTCTGCTGATCGTTCAGATCGACGCCGTGACATCCATTGTGCAATGCTGTCCATAGTTGCCTTGAACGAGTCCCAGTCAACCGCGCTGGTCCGGTATATCCGTAACGAAAACGTTTAGCTGCTCATCGAGCTTCAAAACCTTTTTCGCAAAATAGCTGCAAGCTAGTGGGTTAGGATGGCAAAGAAAGTAAATCGCTATGGTGTTGCGAGTCCTTTGGTCATTCTCTTGACCATATTGATCGGACCAAATAAACCACGCTTTTGCAAATATATCCACAGAGTATTTCCAAATGGTTACATATAGTCGTCTTGCCAGAGCGAGGTGCACCTATCGAATCGCAGTAGTTCATTACCGGACAATTACCAAATACTTCTTCCGAGCTCAGTGCTAAGAATCATATCCGATAGTGATATGTTCCTGGTGGCCGCCCGTACGCACGCCTGTTCTTCAATGTTGTTCAAGCTTCCACTCCTCTGGCCCGCGGGACGGGATTTCTGGTCTTCAGGCGTCTGCTGGATGTTGGTGCTGATTGTATTGCCAGCGAACTCGAGGGCTCCCTTTCCGGTTTCGAAAAAACCAAGCCGACACGGAAATCCTCAACACTTGATGCCGAATAGCGTTGCCCATTCTAAAATCCTTGGGGGAAACTGGTAGATTTATGACAGATATCTGAGGCACATCCGCGAGACTTATACCCGATCGGCATGACCATCCCATGGTATGGATCTCAAATGATGCTGTAGACCATACTGAGTGTCTTTTCATAGTTCGTGTGTATGGACGGTGAGTGTTCAGATCTTGATCGAATGAAAATCCAAAGGTGCGTATCGGCTCGCTCTTTGTGCTATACTGCGAGTCCGAAATACGTCCTTTGATAGTCACGACACTCATGTCGTCCTCTGTTGTGCTCATTCCGACCAGTGATGGATTCGGGACCGCGTCTCGGCCAGTGATTGATGAAATGGTGCTTGGTGGGCGTCCAAATGTACGCTGCTCTAACCCTGTCATCTGTCGGGATATCTCTTGATTGCTCGCAAGAACTTGAGTGACAAGGGTGGCAGGCTCGCTCACTGACGCTGAGACTTCACCTACGGAAGCGCTAATACCAGCAGACATCAGGTACTGTCCTTATACATTGAGACTCCAGCCCAACTTACCAGGTCAATGTTGTCATCATGAGATTGAGTGATACTTTGGAACTGTGCAAGAGCTTGAACAAAGGCTTCGCGGTATGCTCCTTGAGAACCCACTGTCACAGTCTGCCAAGTTGCATTGCATCCGACGGTTTCAGTGATTCAATTATCTCCTCCAGCTCCGAAGAATGAAAACACAATTAGACAAGGCAACCACGGTTTGTTCTACCATCAGGAGGTTCCCTTTGGATCTAAATGCTGCTTTGGGGCCTATCAAGGAACATTGCAGCTGACTCAAGCAAGCGCTGATATCGGAGACTTCTTGCAGAACATTCGAAGCTAGCTCGGGAGCATCTTTCACACTTCAGATGAACCTGAGGTGGGATTCGGTGACCTTAGCCGCAGCCCCGACCAGGCCAACTATGGAGGCGGCGGCAAAGATTGGATCCATAGTCTTGCGCATACAACACAAATGAGCGCGTAAGCCGTCACTAGAGTGGTTTCCTTGAATCCTAGACAACATTTATGCGACAAGTGCAGAGCCTTGCACTCGGCTGACCGTTTACATGGTAACAAATAGCGTCGTCGATCACTCACCTTCTGAAAACACTTTTCATAATAGGCTTGAACGTCCACCTCTAGGTACTCATCCAGGTGCGTTTGCTTGCAAACTTGGTCTGACTTTGACTCCTAACCCTGCATATGGGCGCCCTCGAGAAAGAGTCTTGTTGATTTGACTGAAGTACTTGTGATTTTATTTCGCCAGTCCCCCTAAATGATGTCTAAAGTCGTAAATCCTTAAAGGCAGCCTTATGGAGACCTGGTAACTACCTTGGGGATCTTTCTCGAAGTACTGTCTTTTGCGGGATTATTCTGAGCCGCGCACTTGTCTAGTATTAGAGGAGTGTCTCCGTGCTGTTAGGCAGAAGAGCGTAATGCCTCAGGGGACCATGGCTGAATTCTTGTCTGGAAAGCTCGCGGATACCACTTGTGTTACCCTCTCACTAAAAATAGTCGAAACGAAACTACTGTTCAAGAAATGAAGCGTTGCGTCGCGAGTAATTATTGAATTGCACTGACAAGCGCTAGGGCGGAGTATTATTATCCGGCCCTTCATTAAGACGAACGCAAGACTACACCGGGATCCAAACCCATCTTAGGACGAAGATCGCGGATGTGGTTGCTTCAGAGTGAGACTCCGATTTTTGGGGCTGTGCTGTAGCGAATGTAGCCGTACGTGCACGATTGCAGAGCGGCGGCTATGGAAGTTTCGGAGGGTCCAGGAAGAGAAATCGAATGCACAGCTACAAGCAATGCGCCAGTAAATTCAGGCGGATATATGTCGCTAAGTCAAAGGTGCAAATGTCTTTCCACCCTTTATCAGATTTCGTGTTCGAGGTATTTAAGAAGTGAGATACCTGCTTCAGTCAATTTACACTAAGTACTGTGAGCATACTCTTGGCTTTCGCGACCGCTAAAGCTTGTTGATGTTTCATTGCTCCCATCTTTTGTCAAAATGCACGTCTCCTACCTCGCTCTTCTCATCGCCCAAATGCTCGTCACCTGTAGCAGCGTGTGTTTCGCAAATCCCCTCTTCGCTGCCGAAGCCGTAGCCCGATCTGTACTGCCGACCGATGTTTCTCTAAACGACCTTCGCGAACCTGCCGAACCCACCTGCACCGAGCTCAGTGCCCTCTCGACTTCCTTCAACGACCTCGGTACCTTCTCCAGTGATTGCATAGCCGCCGCAAACTACTTCTTCAACATGGGGATGATATCCCGAATGGCATGGCACTGGAAAAGAGTCTCGCCAGAGCAGCCTCCTCAACCAGGCTACAACTTTCTACCTTACAGTGTGGCGCCGAGAGGTTGTATGATACAATTGGATGTGCTGGACGATCCTGATGCCGAGGACCAATTTGCGCTGGTGCAGATTGCGGACGACTTCAGGCGACTGTTTACAAAATGCGTAAGACCGAACCCGAGAGCGTTGGCGGCGGGGTTTGTACCTGTGGGACCGAGAAGGGTGTTGAAGCTGTCGATTAAGCCTACGCCCATGAGTGGGTACTCGGAGGAGGCAGGCTTTGCCTTGAATGGCACGAGGTTGCTGAATGTCACATCGCAGGGGTGATTGAACTGTGGTTTTGACGCATTTTAACGATGAAGGCATTCGGTTGATTGTATCAAAAAAACACCTTTGCGGCCGGGTCCTTTTTCCTCTCGTTGCTCAAAAGTGCGTTCAGGAAAAAACAGCCCCTTTCAATTTCGCTTGATATTACAAAGAAATTGCATCAGCAGCAGCTATATTTGTCTTGAACTTTAGCCTCTATGTTACAAATTGGAGGATTGGCACCACGGAGCCTCTGAGATCCTATGCCTTACAGCCGCAACCACATCAATAAAAGGTGATCAACTGGACACACAGCATACTCTCTGCAGTGGGTAGCACTAGTCTGGTCTTCGGCGGCGGCTACGATAACGATAAACACAGGTCTGATCAGGTAGAAAATATTTTTTATGTTCCAACTTGCCAGCTATTTAATAGTGCTTGGGTGTCAAGGTATCTTTCCTCGCCACCGATGCTGCTTGTGGAATGTTGGCGGCTCCGTTCCCTTAGCCTCCTGTTGTTCTAGTGCTCTACTTATCGATGTCAGTGTCACAGAGGTCCAAGCAAAGCTTGGCTAAGTCAGAAAAGGTGACTACCCAAGGGACAAACCCGTCAGCAACGATGAGTCCCAAGATCTGAAGAGCAGTAGAGGGTGACTGGCGGCGAACGGCGCAAAAGAGGAGAGCACACAAATACAGAGGCTTTCAACCCGTAGAGAAGCCCTAACTTCGAGTCGATACTCAGCAGGTCCTCACTGCAATTGGACAACAAACCCAACGCCAAAAACTTATGATCGACAACCGTTCCATCCTGCAGTAAATGCTTCGCGACAAGATCATGGCCTCCAAACACCGCGATGAAGGGCATCCAAGAACTAATGCGGAAGTGTACTGCACCAAGCGCTTGGAAGACGGCGTCACGCATGGTGGCCGAGCTTCGCTTCCCATACAGCCTCGTTCACTTTGGATTAGCGAAGGCTGCCTCCTTTTCCAATCCTCTTGCTTGCTATGTCGTAGCTCGTGTGCTTGTGGCAAATATGGTTGGCATGTGACTGTATTTAGCAGAGGAAAGATATCATTGAGAGAGGCTTTGCGATGAGTTTCGGCTTCAGCGTGTCAGACATCTATGGATGCGCGTGTTTGGCGTATATGCTTTACAATGAGTTCAAGCAAGCGCTGGGGGCTTGTCAGGAAGCATCACGGGAACTGCTGCTTTTCAATTGAGTGCTTTTGAAGACTAAATCGACTATCGAATGCGAGAGCAGCCATCTCAGTCAATCCGACGAAGCTGCTCTTGGGGCTTGGCTTGACAGTTGCAAAGAGCTTCTTTTTGTGCAGACATTCGATGCGCTCATGGTGCCAGAAAGCGTCGAGAAGATAGAATTCGTTGCGTTTCATGGTTGTCTTATTGAGCATGGTTCACGAACGGAGTACGACCCTAGGTACGACCAAATTACACTCGTCAGAGGTTTGCGTCAGCATTTCCGTGAAAGAGGATTTGCCTTACAGATTCCGAAGCTCTAACGTGGACATCGGCACAAATTGAGAAAATGACGGCGTTCATTGTCCTCATCATTCAGTACGTGTTCATTGAATCGAGTCTTTCCGTACTTGGCGGCTGATCGCTCCGCATCTCAGGTCTTACCATAGTGGAATTCAAGCCTCTCAGGAGCGCATAAGAGAGCGCCATCGAAGAGTCTCACGACCTCCTGGTAGAGTCTTCGGCCGATCATGTGCTCCTTCTTGATTCCTTCTCAGACCGTCTGGAAACATCACAAACTCGTACTGAAGCACAAAGTAGCAGAGGTCGAAAAGCCCGATCATGTCTCACAGTCTAGAATCCTCTTCCCCAGAAGGTCGTCAGACATGGATGGAGCTAGGTAGGCTTTTGAGGGATGAGGGCATCACGCCAGCTATGTTTCAGAGGAACCCCGGAATTCTGGTCAATGTTGTGAAGACCACTCTCTAAAATCAGACGTTTTTGGCAGAATCGACACCACAGTCGTACGCGGCCGCGCCTGGATACCATGTCGACGAAACACCACGTCGAGCGTCACTCAACGAGAAACGCATCTTGCCTGGGCCTTCCTTCTGTCTTATCTTCAATGAGCCTTCTAGGATCTGCACCGCCTCGCAGTGCAGGCTTCTGCAGATGCATTCCTCGAAAGACAATCCGGGGTGGCAAGCTTCCTAGATCAAGGGCATTGATAATGGAATGCAGTCCCTGCTTCAAGGCAGAAGTTGCGAGAAGTTCAGCAAGGAGTACGACCAGGATGACAGCAAGGAGTACGACCAGGATGACTTCGACGACCTTGTCGTTGAACATCGTGAGCTCGGAGGAGTTCCCATCACTCGTCACTTGTGCTCTTGTGTCCTATGCATGAATCACGATGACGGTTGTGACGGCCACTGTCTGCTGTGATGGAATCATTCGATGAGATTTTCAGCTTCGATGTAATGCTCAGTGCCAGATCCCGTTTGGAGAGTGTTTTCTCTGCAGAATGGATTCCGCAGGGCCTCAATGAGCTCTGCTTTCCCAAGAGCGGCTGAAGCAGGCATGCAGATCGAGCACTACAGACTTTCCCTATTCCATAGCAATTGTTGGGAGATCAGAGTCATGTCGAGCGTGGTAAGGACAACAGCGTGGTCTGAGGGACATGTTGATTGAAAGCCTTTGACGAGCATCTACTGTTGTAGGGAAAGAAAAGTCGAATGATTATTTACTGGAACTACAAGTTGACACTTCCTTTTTTGATATATAGCTATACTTCCTAGTCTTTCTGTAGGAGATAAAGCTCTAATGAAGCTATTAAGACTGATCTGGTTTTAGATCGGCCACTGTTAGCAATTAATGGTAGGTAACGCATAATAATGTGTTTACCGCTTTCAAGCACAAACTCCTTCGGAGTTTTGGCCTAATGGTTGTGCTTTTAGATTCCTAAATTCACAAAAATCGGCTACCTCAGCTAGCACATTCATGTGACCAGTCACACACTGGCATCCTCCACCGATGTCTTATGAGAATGGTAAGAGTTTGCGTTGATCGATAAGTGGAATTTATTACGTACCTCCATTCTCGAGTGGGCCGACTTCAGGCATGATTTGGATTCCACCGCTCATGCCTCGAATACGATATTAAGCTATTGGTACCTAATATCTCATGCTGTAGGCTTTCGGCCGTAGGCGACATGGCTAATGTTACAACTTATTAGCATCCGGCATTCTCCGCCCCAGCAAAACATAAAAGGATGAACAGACTCACAAGTCGAGCTGAGCATGAATCTTGGGGTCTCTGAAATCCTTGCGAACCTTCGCAATGAGAACGTGCACCTCTTCTAGCCTCCAACCGAGTACTTGCGTCAAAAGGCGAAGGGTCATCCCCTCTAATCCGTCTTCCAGTGTCACCAAGTTCCATGCACCGACTGTTTTCTGGACAAGCATTAGCGCGCTGACTGGGTTCTCGCAGTGGAATTCAGGACCTTACCAAATGTTTGTCTTTCGGCCACGGTCCAATGGGTAGACGGAATCGTTCATGGTACACATCTACAAAGCCCGCATCCTTCATCCATCCTTGAATCTTTGGGCCTGGCTCTGGATCCTTGCCGAAGGACCTACAGGCACCACATCCGAGATCGTTCCATTTTCGAACTGCGTGCTCAGATGTGACTGACTCATCTTCGGAGTAGATACGGAGGTTGTAATCCTGGAATTCGGTGTATCCGCCAGGCTTTGTGGCTTCGAAACATTGGCGTACCAATTTTTCCCAGTCGGAAATTGCTGCAGCTAGGTAGCGACAATGGACAAAGTCAAATTGGTGTTGGAACGTCCAATCGTCTTCCAGATCGTCGACCTCGAACTTGACGTTGACTGGCACCCTATCGGCTTTGAGTAATAGGCTCTATTGGGTAATGGGTATTTGAATTCCTTACCATGTTGGCTGCGTTGGGCTTAGATCAGTACCAAGGATCTCCGTGTCTGGGAACTCATCGCTCATTTCGATGGCCCAGATGCCCGTCCCGGTTCCAATGTCCAAGATTCTAGCTGGTATATCTATAGGTGCCAGATAAAGCTTATTACCCATAGTGAGCTTGAACATCTGATGGCTTAGGTCGAGACGATCTTGTTCGCTCTCGTCGTTCGGCATGATGTAGCTTCCATCCTTGAAAGCGTGGTATCGACGGCCATTCTCGATAGGGTACCTCTCGATGCTGCTGGTTATTGATGCGGTATAAGTTGACCTACCGACAAGTGATTAGCTCCCCGGGCGCTAAACATACACTTGCACCGCAAAGGCACATACACATCATCTCCAATACTGGAGTCGGATGCGTCGTAGAGCTAGGACAAGCGTCAGTGACGTCAGTAGGAAGCCTTCACCTGGTGTTCGTGCTTACATCTGGGTCTGCTTCGATGTTTTGCGCTGTTGCTGGAACGTCGGCCATGACTTTGTCAAAGACTGAGAAGTTACTCTTGTATACGCTCTGGAGTGGTAGAATGTCCACGAGCGGGGTAAGAGAAGGACGACGTACTTAAGAGTCGAATTACTCCTCGTTTGAGCCTGGAAAGGCCGTAGGATTACGGCCAGACCATACCCGATTGCAGTTAGCGATAACTTGAGAGGATTTGATCCTCGAGTTGTGGTTCTTAGCCCCCGTGCTACGCTCCTTTAGCGGAAACCCTACCAACAGGCTTCGTTGAAGTTCGGGGTTTGCATAGAGCCTACGCAAGACACAATGCCAATCGACCCTTGCTAATAGTACCTTGCCAGCGCACACACCAGTCGCTCACTTGGCGCATTGTTCGCGTGGTATCGATGCCATTCTCTGCCTCTTTCAATGCAGCATTGCTGCCTGTGTGAAAATTTCTGCTCCTGAATGGCCGACTGCTGACGTTGATAAAAGTGCAGGCCTCTTCGCAGAGTCGTATGCTTTGTCGCAGTCATGGAATGAAGAAGAGGCCCTACGTGACTTTCTTCGTCAACCCTTCTTGCTCCCTGGTCCCTACTTGTGTGTTACAGAAATGAGCTCCCTCGCTTATTAGCGACCGAGAAACACATCAATCAGACAGCACAAGAGTGTAACTTGGGTATATCTTGATTATATATATCATTATCCATCATACATGCCTCGAACACTGAGCCTTCTGGGTATCATTGATAACTAAAGGATTTATTCCTCAATTACTATCCCCATTCCGTACTATTTCCCAACCACGCTGTTCCTATGTACCCGCAGCTCCTCCTCCCAGTTCATCTTCGAATGTGTCCTAGAGAGCGTAGATAACCGTTTCGCACGCGCCTTTTCCGCATCAATAGCAGCTTGCTTTTCCAAGTCAATCTCCATACTACTGAGAGTCGAGGCCCGCGAAGGCTGGTCTGGAGGACCCCGAGGATTGATGCCCAGTCGTCCCAGAAGATTGAAGTAGGGTTTCGCGAAAATCTTCCAGATTCTGTAAGAGAGGCGTCGCGCGTGTCTATTGAAGGCTACCATGAGTGCGACTACTATAACTGCGAGAGATATAGCGCCCATGTAGGTGAATATTTCGTGTAGTGTCGGTAGCGCTGAATTCTCATTGCCTGGATTACCGCTCCATTCGCGTGCGTTGATACCTACGCCCCAGTCAGTCCTGCTGCTAAACGATTTCAACCGTGGTTGGAAGATGCGAAGTTACCGAATACAGACGCGAAGAAAGACAAAGGTAAAAAAATGATCGTGAATATCGTAAAAATCATAACAGATCGTGATTGATCGGCAGCAACCTCGGTTTGCTCGCGGGCTAGGTGTGCTTCTACAATATTAGCCTGCTTCTGCTTCATGTCGAGAAGCTCCTTGAAAGCCTTTTGAGCGGCTTGAGCGCCCTTGAGCATGCCGTCTAACTGCTCTTTGTGTTCGGTTAGGAACTGGTCGACGTCGTATAAGAAGTTGATACCGTTGAAGCCCTTTCCATGGCGGGTATTCAGATCACGATATTGTTTAATCATTTCCGAAACACAACTTTGCTGCTCTTTGATTAACTTTTCAATTGTACTCAATTCGTCTTCGATATCACGCAACTCGAGGAGAGCGTCAAGGTCTTTACGGTTGTCTATATGCTGTTGTGCATTGATATCCTTAGCCTTCTTATATTGGTGATTGTTGCGGAACTCTTTGAAGCTGAGGGTTTGCTGTTCAGTCAAAATTGATATGTACTCTTCGAATACTCGAAAGACCTGGAGATTCCGGTCAGTGGTCCGGTCAAGCAGGGCCTTCACTGCGTGGAAAACGGCAAGTGCAGCAAAGTCGAAAGGATCCGTGCATTGGTTCGCATAATCGCCGTTGATGTCCTGATAGATCTCACTCCGCACATCTCCTTCTTTCCAAAGGCCGCCATCGTTGTCTTCCTTTTCTTTGGGAGCGAAGAATGTGATCACAGTCTTGTTGTCCACGATCCAGAGCCAAAGTTGGTCCACCATTAGGACCTTTGCAGCACCATCGTCGGCATTTGGCATTGAGGCCGCTGCTGCGCGACTGGACTGAAGCTTGTGCTTCATCGACAGCTCTTTGGGTGGTTGCATATCTGCATCAGGTTTCGTGCGCTTGTATAATATCTGGTCAGCATCTCGAACAGAGGTATTCCGCAGGCTCGGATATCCATATTGGTCGAGGGTCCGCCGGCAATGGACTGGTCTATCTGACGTAAGGTGTTGCCAGATGAGCTTGTGTTCCATTGATTTTCCGCTAGCGACGTGTTTTGCAATCGGGCGAGCGTGGGGTTGCTCCCTCCGCAATTTGATGATCTCCGCTCGTTTTTGCAGATTCCTGAATGAGTCCCAGTGGAGGTAGGGCAAGTATGCCACGAACTGGACGTCTTCAATGGCACTCAACGGTGTTGCCATGTCTACGTGCTTCTCTGAGCTCTTTGGCAGCAAACACTTAACGCTAGGTCTCACGAAACGGGCGTGGGGTGAGGCGTGTCGTGACTGGTTATGCTGCGAGAACCACATCTTGTCCATCAGGAGCTTGGTGTGGAGATTCAGATTATCCTTGTCTTGAGAGATTGTTGTGAGGACGAGAGGCACCCACCCAGCATGGGTGAAAGGAACGTGAATCCATTTAAACCGCTCCGAAGATGAACTGGGCAGCTGAAAAAGGTGCGCACGTTGAGGCCGTCTCCCTTGATCTGTGTCCTTGTTCGCCGCATTGGTCGTGAATGCAACTTTCTTACTTGCTTTGGGTGCTAGATGGCCTGGAGATCCCGGATCCAATACCTCTATAGTCAAGGAGGGCCGCCTAGTATGTATGTTCTTGGGGATCGGAACAGTTGGAGCAGAAAGCTTTGGATATGAATCTGCTCTGGAAGCATCACTAGAGGTCTCATCGCTTTCCGCCGAGGTGACCATCAAGGTTGGAGCTGCTGGCTCCGAAGCGGGCCTGAATTCTATGGCTGGCCTGACCGATCCATTCCTGCTACCCTCGTCCGCTTGATCAGTTCCACGGACCCTCGCTTCCATACATTTTGATGGTCCACTTTCGAGAAAGGTCTGGAGCGAAGGGTGAGCAGTCATGATCTTTATCGATCCAGGCTCTCCTTGCGTGCCCACAACATAGAACTGATGGACATCTACTTCAGTGTTCGACATTATATCATGATTCAGAGCGTGATGAAGGCTGCGCTCATCGGCACTAAATTCTTTCACAAAGGCCGTAATTTCGTCGACATAAAAGCTGTACAGAGCATCCTCATCCGTGAATTGCGGACCGCCAACGTGGGTGGTATTGAGCTGTATAACCTCTTCATCTTCGAAAGGTGCCTCAGGGCTGCTCAGCTTTCCAGAACGGCTGTCCACAATGCATAGCCGGATGGTGGTCAAAGTTTCCCCACCCAGGTCGTTCGTAGATAGTACAACCAAGTTCGTGTCTTCACTCTCAACGTAGCTGTATATTTTCACCCCGAAAACACTGACAGCAAATACATGATTGAGAGTCTGGATAAAAGATTTTGGAGTCAGCATTACCTGTTCAATAAGAGTCTTCGAGCCATGAGGCATATGTGAAAAGCAAACACTCCTTGGACAAGTCTCAAGGCTTAAGATCAGGTTTGAATGAGAACATCTGGTCTCCGAAAATACTTACTTCCAGGTCCGTATTACGTAACAAGAAGTCGTGCCGAAGGTTTTCAGACATTTCCCATTTCAACCCCAAATGATCTTGCACAGTTTGGACATACTCAGGCTCGGAGAGCACGCTTGAGCCGTGGTGCGGTGTGGAGAAGAATGTAACCCCAAGACACCATGCTGCGATGCTGTTCTGGCCTTCGGCGTCCTTCTTGCTGAGTGCTTGCTTGACAACGATACCTCCCGTACTGTGACATATGAAGAGTATAGGCCGCCGGTCTGTCCTTTGCGCTCTGCGATGCTCGCAAACAATTTCCAAAAAACGATCTGCCCAATCCGCGACTCCGTAATCCGCGACCAACGCCTCCCCAGCAGCGAATTCTTCGGCTGATTTCTTATGCGCATGATCGTTCGGCCCTTGGGGCGGTTTCACCTCCAATTCCCTTTCCGGACGCGTAAGGTGATCATAGAGATGGACTTGGGCGGCGGGGTATAGTCTGTCATGCAATACATAGTCGAGCCGGCGGCGTTCGAAGCCAGCGCTGTCGGTCTGGCGTTCCCATGTCTTTCTTGGATCAGCGCCAATGGCCGGTACGCATACAATACTGCGACAGGTCAGCGTTTGCTCTCATAGAAGGCCAAATTTCCCAACGTACTCGACCTTGACTCCACCGTCTTTGGGCTTTGACAGCGACGAGAAGACGAAGGCCATGACCACAAAACAGATAAAGGATGTCTAAGTACTCAGCATTATTGCGTCGACGAAGCAGACGATCGGGTTAAATGCATTAAGATACCGTCGCAACATACAGAAGGAGAACAGCAACTCAGGACTGATGAAGGAAGCAGGAAAATGGCAGCCAGCAGAAAACCTGGGGAGGGATAAGATCTGCCATCTGCAGCCTTGCCAGGTCTTTACCGGGGCTATCTTCAGCCGCCAGGGTGCCCTCGCCGCCCCCAAACCCGAAGCAGCAAGCTTTGCAATCCTGCTAGACAATCGCCTCAGACGCTGTCTACGTTAAGCCGGGCTGGACCGCCAGGCCAAGGCCATGATCAGCGCCGGGGTCGCCCTGAGACCATTCCATTGGCTATGGGCAGCTCCTTTTCAACGTAGCTAGGAGTCCTCGTGAAGATTATCGATTTATCAGGAGCACCAGGAAACATTACAGTTACTAACATTTTTGAAGGAAGGTAGGCTTGTAGGGAGGAATGAACGTTGTAAGCGAATGGCTATAGAAAGAAGCCCAGGGGTGGACCCCGGAGATACGCCTAGAGGCGCATGTTCCCGCTATGACACCCCACCCAGTCCTATTGTTTGATTCCGTTCAACCTGCCTTCACTTCTCTTCTG